AAAAAAAAAGAAAGCCTGGATAGGGAGATGCTACTAATAAGCAATAAAAAATAAACAGCCAAGGAAGGAAGAAAAAAACATACCGCTTATTTGTGGATGAGAACAAATCCTCTGCATTATCGGCTGATCTCTCAATGTATCGTTTTCTTCTCGAATCTGATCCGGAATCAATATTCGATTGCGCGAAGTCTGAAGCTATACCTCCTCTCTTTACCACCTGAACGAAAAAAAGGAAGCTGCTACTCAAGAAAAAAATTTAACGAACCAAAAACAGCACTGTGGAAGTAACAAAATTACCTGGCCAGAGCGCCCGAGAGTGATGGTGACTCGGGGCCTCGACATCTCGGAGAAACAAAGGCGATGGACCTCAGAAAGATTCGAGGGCGTGACCTATCTAGGAAAAAGATGGAATGGAAATAGAATCGAAAGGTAACAATTACAAATTGAACTACAGAAATGATAGAAAACCCTAGAAAGATAATTAAACTGCAGGGTGCAGGGATTTGGGAAAGAAAGGAAGAAGATGATACGAAGCGCGTCGTAGGCGCCAATGGTGGAGCCAATCTGGGCTGGGCTAAAATGGCCGCCCAACTGCAGCTTCTAATCGGAAATACAGAATCTAATCTACAATTGCTCGTTCAATTTGGCAGTTACACTTTCTATCGTCGTTAATTAGTTTAGTGCTTCAGTAAATATATCACAACCTTTTTTTTTCTCTCTTTTTAGAGTACAATATATCACCGGTTGAGACGCAATAAAATTTTTAACTTTTTTTTTTTATAATAATACAATTATGTAAAAATTAATATATTTTTTTACTATTGAATTCAAGCCACCTATTAATTAGGCACTTCATTCTTTCCACCAGGTCAACTAACCAACAATTTTTCAAAATTTAAAGATAAAAATTGTCTATTTTAAAATTTCGAGACCAAATAGACATCTACTCTAAATCTAAGAGATCAAAAGTGTATATATATTTTTATTTTTTCTATATAATTACATTTTCTTTTTAAATGAAATGAAATGAACGATTATTAGTTAAACATCACGTGGGATGGTGAGATTTTGAAGTTCGACCATCTGACCTCTTGGTCAAGAGTTGGCTAATATATAATGACTAAATTCGAATACAAGTAATAAACACTCTCCCATTGTTTATTAATTTTTATTTTAAATTGCATGCAAAATAGAAATGACAACTTATAAGAAAAACTACTGATTTATATATATACACACTTTCACTGTTGTTAATTTAACTATTAAATTTTTAAAGGTCTTAGTTAACTTCTCGAGACGAAAAAAAGTTTTATTTTAAATCTATTTTATTTTCCAACTCGAGCATACATCATTAATTAAAACACTCATTCTTATTCAAGAAATCGATCGATCCCCACTTAAATATTAAAAAAGAAAAAGAAAAAAGAACTATTTATTTCTTATTTTTTTAAAATCCAATTATGTCTTCAGAAACACTTTTTAGAATGGATTAGAAAGATAAGAAAAATATAACAAAATAAATAATAATTTTAACCAAAACTTTATCAAACTTACCCTAAAGCCACTTTCATTAAAACTGCAGGCTTTTTCTGCCAGTGCTTCCTTTTCTTCTTTCTTATCATACATAATTTTCACTCATCTACGGTGCCAAGTAAACACACCAGCCAAATCAAACCAAGCCAAATATTCTTTACATGCTACAAATGCTACGGAAAACTACAACAAAAGGGATTCAGTATCTGCATTCACTGGAACCTTACTTGAAGTTGCCAGTCACATGAAAATAAACCTAATAATTTGTCAGCAGTAGATATGGCATAACCATTCATTATCACATCATAATATGGTCTCCATACATAATTATACTCGTATACTTCCACCCCTTTTAATCATACCACAATATGAAGTACTGTAGTGGAACTTAGGGGTTACATGTTTGCTGTTGTCGCCCTGATATCTTCCAAGGAGATTGCCTGCAGAAAAAGAGGAAACAAGAAATATAATGACAGCAGGAAAAAGGTTATTCATAACAGAAACGAGAGATGTGGTTACACATTGGGTGAAGTAAATAATGATATTAGCTGCGGTTTAAGAGAGATAGTGGAGCTCACGCTTTTTATTTATTTATTAATTTTTTATTTATAACAGAGAATCAGAACTTTGCTCCCCTAGCCTAGGGGCACCCTCGTCTGCCCTAAGGCTCAGACTCAGAAGGCATCAAAAGTTTTTGGTATTAAGCTCGTCAGAAGGTTTGAAATTAAGACCTCTAAGCCAGATCAAGAGACCCAAGCTCTTGCCAACTGGACTGTCCCCTGGGTCGAGCTCACACTTACTATACTATTTTATTATTATTTTTTTGCATTAAAAGAACTTGTGATATTTGCCAAATGTTTCACATTTAGCATAGCGTTCAAGGAGTATAACTACTCAATATCAAGGGGAAAAAAATTTCAGCTGCATTCTGAAATATGGTGTCTAGCAATAGATCACACATCTTTTCAGTATGTAGTAATTTCATTGAGATTCTTTCCAGAAACTAGAAGTATGATCAGTTCAACCTATCAGGTCAGGATTCAAAGTTACCTGGTCGTTGCCGGCAAAGTCGTTCTCAGGAGTTAGGAAAAGCATGCAATGACACTCTTTCCTGTCAAGAAAAGCTTAACTTTCAGATCACATATATGCGTTTGATAGGGAAAAATGAACAGCGACCTACTATTTACATTTTTGCTTCCTAATACCAATCCAATAGCCAAGGGCCTTAAAAGTCAGTCAGCTATTACATTATTCCTGGGAAAAACGGCAACTTTCCTTTTAATCGTATGTGACATAAAAACAACCTTGGATCCCCACTAAAGAGAACAGCTTGCCTATGGCGTGGCTGAACACCAGTTTAACTTACCAGCTTACCATGGGAAATAATTCTAACAAGGTAACTTTACAACAAATGTAAACCCCTGCTCTTCATACGTCAAGTACACTACTGTAATTTTATGCACCTATCATCTTAAAAAATAAAATAAAATATACCCCCGTAATCCCCCATCCCCCATCCCTTCCTCTCTCTTCCTTTCTCTTTTGTAGGAATAAGACTTATCAAGCAAAATAATTTTAATGCAGTTCATTGAGTCGGTCAATAAATCAAGTTACAACACAGACATGGATGCGTACGATTTTATAAATTCCAGATAGTGAAAAATAAATCTCCCCATGCTATCCTTCAAGTTTTGTTGCACATCAGTTCTAACTATAAGTGTATATTTTACCTCTCTCTCATTGGAACACATGGACAGTTCCAAAAACCTTGCGCAACCTCAGCAGCTTTGTCATCATAATGCCTGAAAAACAATCAGTGAACTATTTGAATTTACATTAAAGAGAGTTTGAACTGTCATTAGTTCCAATAAATAATACAGGATTTCTATAAAAAGCATTAGAAACACCGACCGACAGGGACAAAGTGGTGCACCCAATGTATCTTTGTGATCCGCCAGTCCCTGTTTAGATCTAACATGAGCTTCTCTTACACTAATTACAAATCAATGACGTTCAATCAATTAATACAAGGTAGAGCTAAAGAAATAATCAGATAAAAGAAATTCACAATTCCCAGGTAACATCCAACAGTTTCATCTCATACAAGACAACTATTCAACCAATAAATGAAAAATATCTCATGTGCTACCATAAACATGAGGGATTGATATAAAGATCAATCAATACAGGTTTAGCCCGAAATCAATTTCTAGAACTCATTCAGTCAACTTGCCACGGTAAAACTAAAATCTATCATGATAAAGTTAATCTGCAATTTCATGAAAAACACTTCCAAAGACTATAGTAATCAAGTTATACTTCTACCCCTCAACCGCTTCACCTATTTATAAATAGTTGTTCACTTTGAGAGTGGTTTACTAAAAAACATACGTTACGTTTGATCAATGAGATGTCCCAGAAAGGTCAACAGATAAACATAACCATCTAAGCTACTCAAGCAACTTCATTACTAAACCAAGGAAGGAAGATGAAAATTCAATAAATAAAATAACTGGATATTAATTAACAGTTAATACCACAAGAAAATCTCAGAAAAAGAACCTTGATTACAACAGCAGTGACCCCCTTATCTACACAGAAATACGTTCCTGACCTACGAGCATACTGCTCCGAGAATTTCCTCATTATTTCGACCGACTTGTCGGACGGTTCCCCTGAAATAACAGGTAAAAAAGAAATTCCGTTCGCATTATCTTACAGTGCGACAACATTTGAGTTCGGCATGTACATCAATTTGGAGCTCAAAATCTCGAGATTCGGAAAGATTAGTAAGATTTACAATTGGGGTCGCCCAAAGTTAAGGCGGGGTATAATTACCTTGAGCTCGAACGACATGGCGGCGAGGGGAACGTCGGAGGGAGGAAGCAGAAAGTGGAAGGGCGATATTGCACGACGAAGCTTGTAGAATCATCGGGACAAAGCGACGGAAAAGGAGGAAGAAAGATGAAATCTGTAATTTCGGAGGAAGATGGATAATCTTGGGAGTTTATTTATAGTTTTTTGCCTTGAAAATTGCGGCATACGAATTATAATTTGAATGGATTTACCGAGACGAAGACGATTGATTGAAGTGGAATTATTTCTGGAGGATGTCATTGACCACTGCCCTCCACTCGTTGCAAATATCGGCGACCGAACTCTACGAACCACTCGGTTCCGATTTTAGATGATTCAGAGCCATGGACGCTGGTTCTTAATCTTAGGTCAGGTTCATCACAAGCCCATCCATGTTACCGGCCCAATTATATCAGGCCCATTTATAAATGGTTGTTGGGCTAAGTCAATAATCAATGTTTTCTTTTTCAAATATTAAAATGAGTTAATAATTATTAGGGTATTTTTCATGAGTAGCAAAAATATTTGTCATATTTATCAATATAACAACAATTTTTAGATTTTGCAAATATAGCATGACGACATTTTTAAAATTAGATTTTTTATTCCTTTAGTTATTCTGATTTAGCCCTTGTTACTGATATACTTGCTTCATAATTTATATCATTGATATACATAATATGATGGCAGTGGCCGATGACTAAAGAAGAATGAAGACATTATCTTATTAGTCAACCAATAGTTAAATGAGACAACTATTTATAATAATTTTGTAAACTTCAATGATTAAGGATGACTCTTTTAAAATTGAGATCAAACAGACACTAGCAGCCTTAAGCCTCAAATAGAGGCTTCTTTAAATGCATTTTGTTAAATATAAAAACATTGTAAATTTTAAGTGAGTAAGTTCCATATTTAAAATTATTCGCTCCCTCCGTGTTTTAAGATTTATTGAAAATATAATCTAATTTCTGGCTTAATTATTGAAATAAATATAAATATAAAAACTAATAAAATTTGACTTTCCTTCCAAAATAATTTTGTTTCATTTTTCTATTTTCATTTACAGTCTTGTCTACCAATAATTTATTTCTTTTATTTACACACAGACATCGATGAATAATAACCCCATTTTTCTTTTACTTTATAGTTTTTAAACAGAGTAATATTTTACAACCAAATAAGGGATGAAGAAAATTATTGGTGAACATTGTTATTTATTGTACATTAGAAGTTTGAAACAGAATAGTTATCAAACTGCTTCGTACAAAACAATTTATGTATAGATTTTACAGGATTGGAGATCCCATCACCAATTCTGGAATCCATCTTAATTTATTCTTCCCATAGTCCCCAATCCCACCAACAATGATTATGCACAAACATTTTACAGTTCAAACTTCAAACCCAGGAAGCTGACATGAACAGGGCAGTTCAGATTGTACAAATTCATATAATGGATGTGAGCTCATTCCTGAAGCTGAACAAAAATATCAGCAGGAAGAAAAGTTAAATCAGTTGAAAATTGAAATATCAGGCTAAACAGAGTTCCTTCCTCTGATTAGAGGACTGAAATTACTGAAGGTGTTGTTTGTTTAACTGGGTTAAGGATTGATAATGCTGCAGTTTTCATACTCACAGTTTTGAATGGAGATATTGATCGACGGTGAGAGGCTTCGGTCCACCGAACCAATCGATCAAGAATATGTTCTCTATTACTAATTTGAAGAACCGAAAGTCATGACCTGTAGGCCAACCTGTCATGAACATAAAAAGAAATATAGATAAATGTAATGTTGATGAAAAAGGAGATATAAGTTTGAGTTTGAGTTTACTAACCCTTCATCTCTGCATGCTTTGAGAACAAGGAAGTTCTAGCAAACTCTGCTTCCTTCGTATTAGACTCTAGCTGCTTCAGCTGCAGCCCAAACAGTGAATTCAGTTATACAGGATGACCAGCTAGGATACGAGACGGGTCAGAGAACGTAAAACCAAAAAGTTTACCTTTCCAATCAACGTAATTTTCGCACAAGTTGGGTTTTCTGGGTCTACCTTGCCACAAGTTCCAATAGGGTACTCGCTGAGTGTAAATGAAGCCCTCTCATCTGAGATTGCGTATCTTGCAGTTGGGTCAAGAGTAGTCAAGTAAAAATACGGCGTGCCTTGACCTTTGCTGGGTGGCCCGTCACTAAACGAAACCACATTCCTGTAGGAGACAAATATTAGCTCGATAGCAAACCACTAATCTTTGTATATACTTCTTTACTTCTTATAAGTACCTTTCTCAAGTTATTTTCAATTGCATGTTTGTTAAGTTTGGGTTGTAATCAATAGATAAGTAGTTCAGATCAGAAATATTAGAGTGAGATTTGGGCGCATAGTTATCGGAGGAGAGTGATTAGTTCTAAATGCAAGAGGAGATGACCGAGGCAAAACAATAGAAAGGCAAGGTAAACAAACAAGAACAACAAGAATGTACAGAACTCTAAATGTAATGCTCAAGAAATTTAACAATATGATGGTGGAAGGGTGTTAGTTTCTTGTAAAGAAATCAGCAACCAATCTATGCGATTTTAAAATCACAAAGAAAGTTCCAATGGAGAATCACTGAAATCAACATGAAATTAGAACTAAATTCTCCTGGAGATGCAAACATAGTCCCACATAGGATCGACATGGATAATATCGTACTATTGCAGAGATATATATAAAGAGAATTTTGGTTGATTTTGAAGCAGTTCCACACACACCAAAACAATCAAAATACAGTGGATCAACCACATTAGAAGCAGATTCAAGCAAGAAAACATGACCAATTAAATGATGGTTGCATACTTTCGAATTTGTTTAAATGATTTCAGAAACGCTTAGATCCGAAACCAAGTTGACTTATTGAGTTAATATCAAAACATATTCAGAAGAACTTGAACAACACAGTATTTTTGATCTTACATCCGGCAATGCAGCTGTATGAGTAAGAAATGCTTACCCAAATGGCGCTCCCCCAAATTCGCTTGAGATGGTACTGCAGAAAACACATAAAAAAACAATGAAAAAGTCTTGCAAATTTAAACAACAGCGAGCAAATATCCCTAGCCAAGCTAAGAAAACGCTATTTTCCTCTTAATTAACTACCCCCTTTCTTTGATGAAGATCAAAAACGAAGTTTCAATTGATCAACCCGAATAAATTCGATACAAAAGCCTGAAGCCCCCGATTGGGATATCAGGAAAGAATGAAGTAAACAGAATTATACCTCAAGATTCCCCATGAATTCTGAGATACCAACCAGCGAGCAGTGGCCGCGGCATTATCCGGGTCGGGTTTTGAACTTGGTAGCGACCGACCCTGTACGAAATTGTGCAACCCAACAAAAGGAGATGCCAAATACACAAAAAACAGATAGTAAAACAGACCTGTGAAGATGCCAGTGGCCATCTTCAGTTAAGAATCAGAAGAATTTGGATTAAATGGATGGATTGGGAGAGGGGAAGATGATGAATAATAATTCGAGTTTCAGATTGAATTTATAGTCGAAAGTCGAAACCCAGTGCCAGCTAAAGGAGTGTCGAAAGCTTATGGATAGAGAGCCTGAATTTTCGGGTCCGGAAGCGTATACTTCAACTTCACCGGCCCCTAGATTTCTGATGCCCGAGCTGCCGTTTCGTCAAAGATTAATTCTAAATATACGTCACTTGTTCTTCAAATAAAAGTTGATTAAAACATAATTTATTTGGTAATTACAGTGATTATATTCTAGGTTTCCAAATATATGACTATATTACTATATATTTGATTACCTAAGTTTGGATGTTTTTTCCAATTTCGTTTCGTTTAAAAATTTTCAATTTGATACTATATGTTTTAACAATTTTCAAATTTAATATGTCATGGTTGGTAAATGATAAAATTAGATGATGATAAAGAAAAAAATTAGAGGAAAAGATTAGCTTGTTTTTTTTTTAAATCATTTATTACATAGCTTAAATGCATATACTACCGACCAAAAAGTTGGAGGTTGGAATCCATGCTATTTAACTAAAAAACTAATAAAATAAAATGAAAAATTTTAATTCATCCAGATTTCTTATAAATTGATATAAATTTTGATTTTTGATTTTTTGTTTATTAATGATATTTTTTCTTCTCTAAATTTCTATCGGTTCGCTAAGCATTATGGTAAACTTATTATTAGTAAATTTTAATATTCACCAATAATGAGAGACTAAATTGAAAATGTTAAAATATAAGGGACTAATTTTTTTTCCACGATATATAAATGTGCATTCTTAACTAATAGAAGCCAAAGCTACATGCTCGCATTTCTTTACCATGACGTGGGCATATGGGACGAGGGAAGTTAGGGATCCTTATCCCCACTTCTCCAAAAATTTTAGGTCCATTGAGTAACATTACCAATAGTTATCGTTTTCAATTTTATTAAGAAATCTAGATATTCAACAATTATTTATATTTATTGTTTATCATTACTTTTTATAAACGTTTTCAAAATTGTATAGAAATTTTTGATACAATAAAATCAAGTTTTTTGTTTATTATTTTTGTTTTCATTTTTCTAAAAATAAATAAAAATGTTGTTTTATCCATATTGATCTAAAAATACATAAAAAAATAATAATAACATAAAAAGTTTACTTTTTAATTTTCAATTTTAATTGTTACATTCTTTTTTCAATAAAAAACAAAAAACAATTACCAAATGCAATTTTATCTTCATTAATTAAAAAAGAGGAAACAAAAAACAAAAAACAAAAATGTTATCAAAACGTATTTTGAATTTCCATCTCCATTCTTAGTTAGCTGGTCACTAATTAAATTAAGGATTCTTTCTATATCGAGGATCGTATATATTCTATCTAAGCAAATTGCTATACTTATATATTAAGTTGTTATTGCTCTCATGATCTTGTTTGAGATATTGTTTAGTATATTTTAACATTTACATTATTGAGACACTCGTATACTTTATATTAAAATTTTAAAGAATTTGAACATATATGTAACATGTGCAATTGTGCATCATACATGGTCAAAATCGTTGTTTCATAAACCATTATTTTCTATATATGATCATTAAGGACCATGATCATTTTTATTTTCGAATTAGTTTCCATTATTTACAATTATTTAGCTTTTGTTAATTAATATTCGGTACATATTTTTAATATTGGAATCTAAATACGAGAGTAGATATTCAGAACTACGACGTAAATGTAGTGAGAAATCAAACTTCTAAGCTTTTAGAAAAATATAAGTATTTTTAAGTCTTAACCACTGAGTTATGTTTAAATGGACCAAATTAGATTGTTTATATAAAAATTCGTTACTTTCTCATTATATGTAATTAGTTTACATTTACGAAAAGTAAAAAAAAAATGCAACAATTCATGTTAGACCAACAAGGTATATAAATTGTGAGAGATATATCAAGTAAAATTTAGATTTTGAGATTAAATTTTGGCTACTGTCATGGCGTTGAGTAATATATATGTCTCAATATTTAACACATTAACCTTTGTGAAAAATGAACCAAAAATAAGAATAAAACTCTTTGATAGGATCGTTGCATAGCATTGATAGAACATCGAAGAGGAGATGGAATAGTAAATGAACTTTATATATATTTTTTTTTTGGGATAATATTCGTCATAATATGTATAACCTAACCTACACGGTATGGTTTATGGGCGAGGAAAAAGTTGTTTGTGAATAGACATTTTTGTTCCCATGACCAATAAAATTTTGTCGTCAATCCTGATCATTGGCAAATAGGGATGGCACACGGGTGGGGTGGGATGGGACGATCTTCATCCATGTCTCGTTGGGAATTTTTTCTCCAATTCCTATCTTCGTCCACGAAATTGTAGAGGTGGAGACGAGACGGGAATGAGTTAGGTAGGAACCCATCACTGATTGATTGATGGATAGATATAGATAGATATAGAGATAGATATAGATATATATATATATATAATTTTTTTTTGAAAAATTTTTATAAATATTTTAATTCTTTTAAAAAATATATATTCTTTTTATATGGGAGAGTGTAAAATTTAATTAAATACCATTACAAAAATTAATATATATTAATTTTATTATATAAGGATCTCGGGTTTAGCTCGGTCCCAGTTAAATTGAAAATTCTTGCGGGAGTCGGATGTCGGGAATCGGGTCCCACAGATTTTTTTGCCATCTCTATTGATCACAAATGACTTTTAATGATTCTGGGAAGAAAATACTTGACTTCGACTTCGACTTCGATCATTGTTTAAGTAATTGTGTGATATTTAGCAGTCATATAAACATGTTCAGATGTTTTAAAGGGCTTGTTTCACACTAATTCTAATACATTGTTGACACGGTTATCATGTTTTTGGTATAATGTGAATCGATGAAATTTAAAAAACTAATCATGAGTGCATAGTGTGACAAAGGGTTGATCGATTTTGATATTTACTCAAAAATAGTGACAGATCCAGAATTTTATATCGGAGACATAAATACATATAAATATAATAGAAATACATCAAATTTAACCCCGAATTTGGCAAGACGTATCATTTTTACTAAAAATTTTTAGTTTAATCAAATTGCACTTTAAACTTAGATAATTGTTGCAATCTTAACTAAAGTTTTGAAAAGTGTTACAAATTGTACCCTATTAATAGATTTTCATTCGAAAATTTGTTCAAAAAGTATTATCATATCCGCTAAATGAATTATAAAGAAAATATTTGGTATATAATTGATATGATTGAGACAAAATGATATTAGAGCTGATTCTTTTGGTTGAAATTTGTGAGTTTTAGTAGAGTTATTTATTTGTTGATTTTGTGCATTAATCCATTTAAGTTTGTGCAAGTTTTGATTTTCATAAAATTAGTGATTTTTTTTTTTCAACATGCACTTAGCTGAGTGTAATTGGTACTTGTCACTGACCACGAGGTCATGAGTTTGAATACCCCACCCCACTTGTACTAAAATAAAGTGAACGGTTAGGTTTTTATTTTTATTTTTATTTTTTAATTAATAGATCAATTTGTAAACAAAAAAGAAAGATAATGAAACTTAAAATATTTAATATTTTCCTTTTATAAAATTAAATAACTTTTGATATAAATAGTTTAAAGAAAAAATAGAAACAAAAATTATATTACTGTATATTTGTTGTCATTTTTTTCCTGAGTACGTATATTTGTTGTCATTATTCTTTTATGATGAATTTAAATTTATTAGGGAAATATGCACATAAGGTAAAACCTTTTTTCATTTAAAAATATTATTTAAAAGACATGACTTTCTTTTTTTTGCCAAAAATATACTAAAGAGAAATAATTTAAGAGGTTGATGATTTGAACTTGGACCGAGGCAGCACATATGTGTTAGCCGGAAACAAGCCAACGAGAGCAACTATTTGTATGAATCTTATTTTTATTTATATTTATAATCTTACGTCAAGATAGATTTTAATTGTCAAAGCGAGCATAATTTAGTGGTAATTGACATATACCTCCAACTAAGTAAGTTCGATATCCCATCCTTCACAAAAAAAAGTAGATCTTAATTCTTCATCTATCTACAAATTTGATAATTTGAATACCAACTCAAATATAGCTTAATTGAATTATAACGAAAATACGTTTTTTCTTCGTTGAAATACTGTAGCAACTACTTTTGACAACGACGAATTTTGGCAAAAAACTAACGATGACATTTTCTTGACTTTCAGCGATAATTTTTTTTAAATTAAAAAAAGTAAAAAATTTGTAGTGTTGAGACATAATGCATCATATATTGTTAAAAAAAAAATTAGATGTTCAAATGGTCTATCTAAATGTTGTTGAATGAAAGAGAAAAGAAAAGCACAAGTTTTCCTATAATTATAAAAAAGAAAATTAGAAAGAGAAAAACAGCAAAATATGCCTCACATTAGAGAAAAAAATAATAACAACATTTTCTAAGAAAAAAAGCCGTTTCAAACATTGACTAACTTTAATTTTTCAAAGAATAAAAAAAATTATTTCAAAAAGCTTCCATTAAAGATCATAGCTAGCTAGGAGAAAAAATTTACTTGTATACATTTAACATTCAAATTAATTTTCTTTTTTGAGAAGTCATTAACACCCAAATTAAATTCCAAGATTTACTAAAAAGGAGCATCAACATAATTACGTTACAACAATAAAAATCTGCTCCAAACATGGGATTAAAAACAAAACATGCTAAACTTTAAAATCAATTCAAATTTATTTTCAAAAAAAAAAAAAAATCAATTCAAATTTTATACATGCATGCATGCATCAACAACTCACCCATTTAATTTGTGTTATAAAAAGGCCCCAAACTCCAAGCCATTTCTACACATCATCCATCAAGCTCTCTCATCAATGGCGTTCAAATGTCTCAAACTCTTCCTCCTCCTCCTCGCCTCCGTTGCACCTCGCGTGATACTATCACACGATCATCATATCCAATTTCCCGAACATCTCCAAGGATGTCGTAAGGGAGACAACGTAGAAGGAATCCAAAACGTCAAAATGCACCTCCAACGCTATGGTTACATGAGGAAGGACAATAACAACACTGTGAATAAGGAGAGCACTAATGCATTCGACGAGGCATTGGAGTCGGCCATTAAAAAATACCAAAAAAACTTCAATTTGAACCTGAGTGGCGCTCTGGATAGAGAGACACTAGACCTAATGTCTAGGCCCCGATGCGGAGTTCCAGATATCGTCGCGAGCAGTAACAATGAGACAATGATGTGGAATAGTTCTCACTACGCATTCTTTCCGGGGAATCTAAAATGGCCCAACACAAAGTACCACCTCACGTACACTTTCATCAACAACTACCCGTCGAACTACGTAGCGGCCGTGGCTCGGGCACTAGCAACATGGGCTGGTGCCTCGCAGTTCACGTTCGCAGAGGCTTTCGAGGGCGAGACGGCAGACATCAAAATAAGCTTCGAGAGAGGGAACCATGGGGATGGGAATCCATTTGACGGGAGAGGAGGGGTGTTGGCCCATGCGTTTGCCCCATCGGACGGGAGATTGCACTTGGACGCTGATGAGAGTTGGACGGAGGGGGTTGTTTTTAATGAGTTTGATGTGGAGACGGTGGCGCTTCATGAGCTAGGGCATATTCTTGGCCTCGGCCACAGCAAGATCGAAGCCGCCATTATGTGGCCCTTCCTTGACCCCGGCGCCACCAAGGGCTTGAATGCCGATGATATTGATGGAATCCATGCTTTATATGCCTAACTGACTACAACCATGTATGAGGAATTTAATCCAACAATTTTGGAGATTTTTGCTGTTTTCTTTTTCTAAAGACACTTTAGTTATATAGAATAAGATGCTATGCTTATTATTATTTTTCTTTATGGGAGCAGTCATTTAATTGAACGAAATAAATTGATACATTAAACATGATATTTTGCTTTTTGTTTGAATATATCAACATCATCATGTTGTCATGTGGAGTAGAACTCAATCTTACAGACTTTTAGTCAGAGAAGATAGGAATTAAGTTTAAATTATCATACATTGAATATTAAAAATAGAAAATACGTTGATTTGAACCTCATTGGAAGGAGGATATATTTATATATAGATTTATTTTATCATCCATTACTTAATTTGGTCATTTGATATGACTCAATAGTTGAAGTTTCGTTAATCTTTTTTTATAGGTCAAACTTTAAAATATCTTCGACCTAACCAATTGCATTTACAAAAAGCGAAAAAAAAGCACAAATCCATGTTGTACAATAAGTTAAATAATTTTTTTTAATGGTAATTGGAATTGTTATAATTACAAAATTGTTTATTAGAGATTAGAATTAAAAAAGAAATTACAGCCTTCAACAACCCAACTTAATTGGATTATCTTTGTTTAACGAGATGTCGTTTCATTAAGAGAAGTATGTGATAAATATAAAGAAAACACCTCAGCTTGAAGAAATAGTACTAGAAATATCATAGTTACAAAGAAAAAAAAAGAAAGTGATTTTGACTATCGGTTTTTTAATGTCTTCTTTTATATATATAACTAAACATTAGTTTGGTAAGCCTCGATGGGAGTAGTCATTATTTCTCTCCAACCAAAGATTCATAAATTTGAGTCGCACTAAATCGTAGAAAATTATTTTTAAAATAATTGACTGCATAAAAAATAATATAATTCTTATAGAAAAATAAAAAAAATTTTAATTTACTATTTCTAAGTTAATTCTCTTTCTTCTATATTTACTTAGAAAACTTTGTTTTATATTAAAAAAAATATCCAATTAAGACTCCAAACTTTCATTTTTGTATGTGATAATTCTTCAAGTTTTCAATTTTATGTTGGATATAGATCCTTAAACCCATCAAACCATTCTTTTGAGTTCTAGAATTTATTGGTTCAAGATCAAATTCACGGAGCATAGATATTGAATTTTATTTAAAGTCCCATTAAACAAAAAATTTAGATCCACAGTTAATTACTCTTTTCTAAAATTTATTGGTGAGGAAGGACAAGAAAATTGATCATCATCGGTCAAAAAGATTGATCATCATTGATAAGGAACAAGTCTTTTCGTGTTTTACCTGAGTTACTTGCGAGAAGTGAACTATTAATATTTTTTCTTTAAAATTTACTAAGTACAATGAAAAATGAATTAAAACCATCCATAGACATGGAATCAAATGATTGGTCTATCGAAATCCAGCATGTCAACGAATTAATGAACTTTCTCAAAGGATAATATCATATATACAAATACCAAGTTTAAAAAGCTTCCACTAAAAGACGACGAGAGAGAAGAATTATTTCTAAATTAAAGTATAAGATACTGTGTGAAGGACGTATGATCTCAACTTTAATTTTACGTTACCATGCCCACTCCAATATAGAATTAAAAGAGCTGGAATCCTTTCTAAATCATTCAGTTTTCATAAATGCATGCATATAATAACCGATCCTTGTTATTGTTCTTGTTCATGCAAATTGTCTTTAAAAAGTCCCCAAACTTTATAGCCATCTTCACACCTCAACACAGCAAAATGGCTTTCAAATTCTCTCCCCAGCTCCAACTACAACTCCTCCTCCTCGCAGCTCACGTGATCTCAGCACGTGAGCTTGGCAGCCACAGCCACAAATCAGCCCAATTTGTATTCCCTCAATGTCTTGAAGGAAGTCGCAAGGGCAACAACATAGAAGGAATTCACAACGTCAAGATTTACCTTCACCGGTATGGCTACTTGACCAATGACATTGAGACCGATTACAACGTCTTCGACGATGCCTTGGAATCCGCCCTCATAACATACCAAAGAAACTACAGGCTGAACGTGAGTGGAGTATTGGACAGGGAGACATTGGCTGTAATGTCGAAGCCCCGATGTGGGCTTCCCGATATCGTCCAAAGCCACAACAACAAAAACATTTCTCAAGCTCATTTCACGTTCATGCCAGGGCTTCCAAAATGGCCAAAATCCAAGTACCATCTCACCTATGGCTTCATCAAAGACTTCCCGCCAAAGTTCGCAATGGCGGTGAGGGAGGCATTTGAGCAGTGGGAGGGGAACAGCGTGTTCACCTTCTCGCCCGCGACGCGCGTGCAGTCGGCGGACATCACGTTGAGCTTCGAGAGAGGGGACCACGGCGACCCGTATCCTTTTGACGGGCCATGGGGAAAGTTGGCGCATGCTTTCAGGCCGGGGGACGGGAGAGTTCACTTCGACGCAGACGAGAATTGGGTGGTGGGGCCGCGGGAGGATGCGTTCGACTTGGTGATGGTGGCGCTGCATGAGCTTGGACATGCCCTCGGCCTTGGCCACAGCTTTATTCAGGAGGCCGTCATGTGGGCGTATCTCGACCCCGGAGTCAGCAAGGGATTGAATATGGACGATATTGTGGGACTCCAAACCTTATATAGCGAGAAATGATCACAATCATTAACATATAACATTTTCCATATTATTTTTATTTTGGCGTTACTTTTACAATAAGCAAGGTTCTTGCACTTATTTTATTTTGGACGAATGATTTGATTGAAAATTTTCTAAGCTTTCAATAACATATCTAATAAGTTCCAAGCTTATTCGTCATTTTCTTAAAAAAATCTTGTATAAGACACAAGATTGAATTTCGTATCTAATAAGATATTGACTTTTGAATTTTGTGTCTAATAAGATAAAGTATCCGAATTGTATTAGAGAGAAAATATAGTGTTCGCGTACTTTGAATAGAACAAATAACTTCTATTTATAGGCGAGGTTCTTAACAATGTCCTCGACAAGGTCTCAACGACTTTTAAGATAACCGTGAATCACGGAGCGCTATCATGAAGTCTGTCGGAATATAAGGCTAAACCGAAGACGTCCAAGTCGGTTCAACCAAAGATTGGGAACAAGACACAAAGGAAACTTGGTTAGTTCGGCCATAATTGGACGTTGGCTCGGTATCAAGTCTCCATACCGAGGTGATGAAACTAGGCCTTTGTCAACTCAAAGTCACATGTAGTTTTCCCCTCCAATCGGGATATGCCACGCTTGAGGTAAAAAGTCACCCCAACAATATATGTATGTGAACAGATTTTAAATTTCTTTTAATAAGTTAGCGATATAACACAATTGTGAAAACAAAAATTGAAAGTTGAGAGATTATTAGATACAAAATTGAAAGTTAGACCTAAAGACAACACAAAATTTGAAAGTTAAAAAATATCAGAAGATCCTGTTAGACATAAAATTAAAAGTTCGTGGACCTATGTGATACTTTTAAAATTTAGAAAACTATTAGCATAAAATTGAATATTGAAAGAGTTATTAGACACTCTTAAAGTTTTGGTACCTATTTAAAAAAAAAAAGTGAAAGTTGAAGGTTTATTGGGACACAAAATTGAAAGCGGAGAAATTAACAAAATAAAATTGAAAATTTGACTTACTAGACATGCATTTTGAAATTTAAGAATATGTTAGCCGGTACGATACACAAAGATTTAGGGACTAAACTTATAATTAATTTAAACCTTAAAAATAAAATTCCACCTAGACGATAAGGATGTTTAAATCCAAATACGAAATCAAGCCAGAAAAAGAAAAAAAAAATCCCTAACCTAGACGATATATATCATGGATTTTCTCGTTTCATGCATCCTAAAAGAAGATAAATTTTTTTTTAAAAATCTGATAACAATATTTCAAAATAGAGAGAATTAAAATATCTAATGAGTAACGAATAAGGGCAATAATGATAAAAGAAAAATTGAAAGACGAAATCTTTTTAGAATATAGTATATGGGGTAGAAATTCAAACTAACGATATTTTAGTTCCATATAGATATCTTAATCTATTAAGTTATATGCTTAGCTTGGTAATTAAAAAATTAAAAATAGAACAACCAAACCCAAAATTAAATGCACATCAAATAATATATATATATATATATATGTTGCAAATGCCAACATGAGCTTAGTGGTAATTGGCAACGTCTGCACGCAGCTTATTATCTCATTTATGGCAATTCCTCCGCGGTCTTATAACAGTGATTTGGTCGAAATTGGTGCTGTTTACATCATCATCTCAGCTAACAACATGGTAGAATTGGGTGGAATAAATTGAAAATAAACTTATGAAAATATGGCCAAGAATAAGATCAGTACTACTGTTGACCATCCCAGCTAGCTCCGATTTTCCAATAATGTATTCCCAAATTCAATAGTTTCCTTTCAACTCCTTAAATCAAGCCCTGTGACAGTGGCTCATTATTCCCTTCTTTTCAGGGTTCGTGAGATGTGTGATCGTAGATTTTCATTTTGTAATCATAGAATTTTCATTAAATGAATATTATAACCGCTGGGTTTCTTCTCTAAAAGGGCCCCAAAAACTCCACCCATGCACATCCACCTTCACATTCCTCAACAATGGCTTTTAAATTACGTCTCCAACAACAAGCACTACTAGTGACGTTCCTAACAATTCTGGCCTCATTTCACCTCACGTGACCTTGGCACGTGATCTTCGCAAGCCCAACAAAGTCCACGATGTCAAGAGTTACCTTTGTTAAGAATTCCACATCGAAAAGAAATGGGACCTTACACTAGTTTATAATAGATATGAGCTACTCCTCTAATTGCCAATTGGTTTTGAGATGAAATTTTGATAACCTTCAACATTATGGGTAGTTGGCAAAAAACAATGTCGACACCAATGACAATGCCTTGAAATCCGCCATTGAAAACTATCAAACGTTGTTCAACCTCAACGTCACTGGGGATGCGGATGTGGAGACGTTGGCCCAAATGTCCCTTGGCTGAGTTCGACATCGAATCCGTCGCGCTGCTTGAATCGTTAAGGATCCCACCTGCCTAACAAGGGTTTATAATAGACATGGACTACTTCCCTCATTGCCAATTGGTTTTGAGATGGAACCCAATGAATGTTAATATGGTATCAGAGCTCAAAAAACGTTCAAACGAACAACTGATCCAAAAATAGGATCCGACCAAGATCGATGAACCAAAAGAGCCACGATCTTGAAGGGGCATGTTAAGGATCTCACATTGAAAAGAAAAGGGACCTAACAAAGATTTATAATAGATATGAGCTACTCCTTCTCTTGTCAATTGATTTTGAGAAGGAACCCCATGAATATTAATATGAAGGACAAGACTGCAGTCATGTGGCTTGACTTAGACCCCAGTGTCACCAATTCTAAATGATCTTTACTTTCCTTATGGGAAGAAATCTTAATTCTTCATCCTCGTGGCCTCCAAATCACATCGTTTTTGTAATTATGATGTACCTTCCATTTCTCTTAATTGAAGTACCATTATATAACCTCCTTTTTTATATGTTTTTCACATACTTTTAATGAAATAGTTTCGATATCTTAAAAAAAACGTTAATAGCATAAAATATAATATGAATTTTAATATTTGAAAAAAAAATTGAAAAGTTACCGTTATGGGAGAAATAAAGCTAAACTCGAGCTAAACACTACTAGCAAGCTACAGACACACTTAAGGGGAAGAAATCCCACCAGCAAATGAGAAATTCAAGATGAGCCGAAATTATAAGAAAAAAGAAAAGAAACCTAACTTTGAAGCCTGACAGATGAGTGATGGCACGGGGTCTGACCAACCAAGACCCAACACCGAGCCATCAGGTGTCAGCGTTGACAAGTTGTCGGGTCTGTGCCCAGTCAATGAGGTTGAGTAACAGACCGATTGTCTTTTCTCCTTACATCCGGCCCATGATGTGCTACATCCAATAAATGTGTAGAGAGAATATAATATGGATTCCTATAATAGAAGACGGAGAACTCAACCCTAGAGGTACCAAAAACCCTATTCTAAACTACACCATTGTTCAACCTCCAATTCTAAAACTTAAGCATCAAAGTGTGTGCTGAGCTAGCACCACACCGCTAGTCTTCTCTGTTTTGTAAGTCAATGTCGAGTCTCTTTCGTGCAATATTTGGTCAACCATCCAATCAGATTTATACATCAACATTACTATTTTACTCTCACATCTCGGGGTGGAAGATTTTGCAAGCTGTACAAGAGTATTAAATTTTCATGAGCATTCTATATGTCCATGAGTTCAACATCAATATCGCAATATTGACATTGATGATTTAAAACTTATTCTAAAAAAGTGAGATGTTTATTTGCTAATTTAAATATTTGATGTAAGTTTAGTTATTTTTATATATTTTTTTCTCGAAAATATCGATCGAAGTCAAAATATATTTGATATTTCAATCGATAGTTTCATAGAATTAAGATTTCGATATTTCAATCCACGTGGACAATTAAAATGTTTTGCTTTCACACACTTCTGTTATGTTAGAATATTTCCGAAAGGCAAATTAATGTGTAGGATTCAGTGCAAAGTAAAATATATAGTAGTTGAAGAAAGGAGAGGACTGTGGTTCCAATGTACGTTGGATAGGGAAGTTGAGATTTTTTTGAAAATGGAACACTTTGACCACTTTCATGCATTGGATAAAGACGTAATTTCAATCTTATTCCCAGCTTAGTCCTTTAGACCGAGGCTCCTTGCTTTACAAAGCGTGGTTTCCTTTAAAGTTCAAGAATTATATGGTGGGCTAATTTTTGTTTACTTGGTTATCGTTCATGCCCGCTCGTTATGTACCTCTGCCCGCCCCAACACGAGTCATTGGGAAGTAAAATACTTCTCTTAAAGGCCGAGTTTGTCTCTCAGTTACGTTTGGTTCAAATTCTCAATTTGGGATTGATTTTTGCACATCCCTTATACACAAAGAAACATGTTCATCTTTAATCAAGCTATCGGTAAAGTTTTATCAGTAGGGTTTACAAGTTCGAATATAATATAAAAATTATAATTAATGAGAATAAAAAGGAAGGTGCACATAATTATTGAAAGCATATATTATGCTTCATATCCAACAAATAATTTGAAAAAGAAAGGGGTGGTTAGCCACCATCACTAAAATTTTGACAAAATTTTATTTATTTTTAAAATACATAAAATTTTATCTTCTTGATTAAGCATTCCTCTTTCTTAATTATTGTAAAAAAATTAACAGTGGGTGCATCGTGGGTAAGCATCTAAGTAATTTTCTTTCCTTCGAACAATACTGATCCACCTTCAAAGGGGCTTGAGAAAATGAATTTTTTTACCCTCTTTATCACAAAATGCATTTACCAATTACCCAGGCTTAATATTTCATTTGAACTCTTTCGAATTTCTTTCAACTTATTTAGGACTCAGACAAAAAACAAAAATGTGGGATTTAGTTACAAATTACACTTATACGCGACACTCATAAAAATATTATTTTGAGTGTGTTTTTCCAGCCATTCAAACCAGCCCCTGCGCGTGCGCAAAGGAGGGCTTCAGTGGGCAGGGACGCGCACAGGAGGCCACGATGGGCAAGGCGTGCGCTGAGGCTTTGGTGGGCGTTGGCCGCGTGTTTGCGCAGCCCCACCAGGCCCTGAGGGCG